TTTTAAGAGTTTTAAGAGTTTTTAAGAGTTTAAGAGTTTTAAGAGTTTTAAGAGTTTTAAGAGTTTTAGCCAAATGTTTTATAATATAGTATAGATACTTCAAAGAAACAAAGTCAAAGTAAGCATTATAAAGCTCTTGAAGTAATTGTACACAACAGACTTGAATGAATGTAGTTGTTGATTATGGTGTTTTACTGAAGAGGATGAGGAATTACATTCAAACTACAAAGCTCTCTTCAATCTTGAGTTAAGAAGAAGGATTTGGGTAAGCTTTAGGCTTTGGCTTCACTTCAACTTCATTCACGTTGCGAACGAATATGGCATCTGGTTCGTGACTGCGATTCAAACACAAAAGCTACCATTAAAATAATCCTGTCTGCCAAACATGTAGGGTGGATGAATAAGGAGTGCAATAAGAATGAAATATTACGATTTCTCTCCCTCTTCGTATGTATAACTGGATGCCACTGCCAATAATCGACCATCTCTGCTGAACGACAAGGCAGCAACACTTGTCGGGTACTTTGAATACTGAATGAAAACGGATCATGAATCAGAAGTGTTGATCAAAGTAAATGTGAAGAAAGACATGGTGAAATGTAGTGTGTACCTGATAAAGCCTCTTCTTGTTGTTTCCGTCCCATACATTTACAAAACCATCACAACCGCCCGTTGCAAATGTTCCATAGCTGCAAAGTTTATGTTTTTTGAACGCGATGGTTAGGATTGTAACATGATCCGGGATAAATAGCTTTGGATTGGCATTTATAGTAATAACCCTTTTCTGAGCACATTAGGAGTTTGAATTTAAGGTCGAGCTTAATTAAGATATCTCAAGCCTGTTATTTCAAGCTGTAGCACGAGCAGCTAATACTGCGCTGGATCATGAGCAGATATCTACCAAGTGCTTAGGTGTCAGATAGAAGTGGGCTTTTCGGGCTGGTCCAGGATCTTTAAATCCCGTTTTCTATAAGATTAAACAAAAATCGGGCCTTCAAATGTCCGGGTAGGGCTTGGGCTTGAGCCATTTTGTGCATCTCTAGTGTGAGGGCATGATTCATTCATATAAAGAACTTACACTGGGTGAAACGCAATAGCATTTACAGGGTAGACAATGTCTCTTCCGGCTTCTGATTTCCGATGACACTTGAATGCATATCTGAAGAGATCTTAAAGCATCAATATCTCGAAATAAAAATGTAAAAATGGCCGAGACAACTGTAATTGAAATATATTTTGTTCATGAAATGCATAATACTAATAGGGGTTAATATGGTCCTGTGAGATGCTTATAGGCTATTTAATGCACATGCTTGTACACTATCATAAGAATATTGCCAAAAAAATCCTGGAATAAACCACTTCAATCCAAAAATGTCAACAGGGAAGAGGCTGGTTAAGGAAAAGCACACAAGTAAATCTGAAAAACATATACAAAACCAAACAGTGGATGCAATATTCATAGGTCATGGGCCTACTGCGGCCAAAAAGTAGGGGTGCAAAGGGGGGTCACTTACCGAAAGAGCGAGGTATAAAGTTCTTAAAAGAAAATCCTTACAAAATTCATCTTGTGGAAAATCAACTTGAAAGCAATAGAATGATGTGAAGGGCAATAAGGAGTGCATGACTTCAAACTCTTTTAAAAGATGCATACTTTTTGGCCTGACCAGCCTCAGTAAGCTCAAAAAACTCCATTGCAACTCGACCTTCCACAGAGCTAAGCGCATAACCTGCAAAATCCCGTCTTTGGTAAGTTAGAATATGAACGCATAGACCGCATAAAAGCAATTAGACTAGAAAAAGGAGACTTCTGACAAATGACAACTACACCAACAATCTATCAGAACTCACGACAGTATCTGGGATCTAGAAAGGAACCATTGTGCACAAAATACACGAGCCAGGTAGATCATAAAGTTGGTGTAATTTGGCAAGCTCAAATACTTCAAAAAGTGTCTCATTGATGGTAGAATATTGTCTTTCACTAGGGATTAAAGAAGTAGCTTTACAGATATTCAAAAGTATCACTTATTACTTAAGTTCGGTGAAGAACCAAAACCTCAAAAAGTGTTTTCATTTCTTGACTAGAAATCAAAGAGCCTGGTAATAAAGATGTTCAGGAGCAAACCTGTTCCATTAGGATAACATCGTACACATCTGGTTTGGTATTTCAATGAGGATTCTCTTCGTTGTTCAGGCTGAGACATATTCCGCAAATCATAGACATTAACATGACGTCCAGCAGTTGCGACTACTACACGATTTCCAACAAGTGATATAGAATAAACACGCTCTGGTTGAGTGTATGTTCCAACAAGAGCACGCTCCTGTGAACTGGCACCTCTTGGATCCCAACACTTCAGAGTTTTGTCCCAACTGCCAGTGATTACTTGCCCTGGGTAAACAGAAGTAGAGGAGGTTAACGGTCTCCACTAGAGGCAGAAAATTTGATCACCGGGTATCTCATGTATTAATTAGTAGAAAATAGGAAGAAAAATAGTACATTCTTTTAAAGCATATTAATCTACTTAAAAAAACTTGATGTTAGCATTTAAAGCATATTAATCTACTTAAAAAAAACTTAACCATAGCATTTAATGGTTTACTGATTTCAATGACCAAATGAGCAACAGCCGCCTGGTTGTTTACAATGACTCAATGAGCGTGACATAACAAGAAAAATTATAACATCTTTCATATAGTAAACGTTTTAGAAATAATGTAGATCACTGTCCAACATTGCTTTTAAATATGTTGCTATGAAACTCGGGATAATGATATAAAAGTAACACAAGACCTTGTATTTAGTCCATCTTTGGCCAGCACCTGATTGTTGGTCTTACTTTCAGAAGACATAAATGTAACTTTCAAAGCATTGAAACTTCAATTACCCCCCACCCCCTCCCTTTGACTCTGAAAAACCGTCTTACTGGCAACAGAAATAATTCAAGGATATAATTAATTGTCTCCTTAACTTTGAACTAGCTACTAAACTTGAACAGAAGAGGACCCACATAGGATATAAACACACATGCACATATATACACATTACGATCTTAGCTTTAGGTAAGTTACATGCACAAGAAGACCTAGTTTTTTTTCTATACCTAGTTTATTTGTACTCCCACTAACTATCGTATTTGATTAGGGTTTGGGGAGAGTTCACGGTTCTGCCAAGGGTGCATTCAGACTCTACGAAGCACTGTACAGGTGATCTCTACCTTGTACATTTTGTGCTTCCTTTAGCTCTGAACACTGCTACCGCATACATATTTGTAGTTTCCTTTTCCTTTATATTAGCCTACATGTACTCAATTTAACTTTTCTGAGCTCTCTGACAATAGGCACAAAGAAGGCACTTCCAGTAGTAAATAGTAACAGAATAACATTCCATATTGACTTGAACCATAAAAGATAGGAGTATGTCAAAGCATTAGTAATGATGGGAACCAGGACCAACCAGTTGCATAAGAGTACTCAATACAGCGAACAGGTGCATCATGGCGTCCCAAAACGTCCTCCCTTTCGTGGTCAAAAACAAGCCTGAGATATGAGGATAGGCATATGCTTGTCAGCTTAAAACAACACAGGTTTTTAACAATTACATGACATCAGGTGTAACCATCTATTTCTAGTGAACTAGTAATCACATCAAACAAATACCAGTAGGAGTAGTGAGATTGAATAATTGAAACGATGAATTAAGCAGTGGCCTACCGATCTAGGAAACATACCAAGTAAACTTTGCAATTCTCAAAACTTGAAGGCGCACACAAGAACCTAGCAGTTATTATTTTCTTTTTTCTAGAAAGAGGCTAGCAAACCAAGACTAAAGTGTTTGGCTGTGGAAAACTATGAAAAGCTGACATAACACAGGAACATGTGATTGTCATGACAAAAGATGCTATTCCTGTACTCGAAAAAGCTCCATAAATAAAACTGGAGTGTCAGGCTATAGGATTTTGATCGAAATTAATGTAGCCATATCATAGATATTTTGTTATTTCTCCACATTATCCTACACTGTCACCAAGCTTGAAGCACCGAGTCATATGTACATGTAAGTTTTCTATTGTTACTCCAAAAGGGAAAGATCTATAAAGTAATGTTTATTTTTATTTCGTGTATGTAGCAGAAATTACTCAAGTCCTTGTAAACAAAAAGATAGACGGAAAGGGATGGTTTCCAGAATAATAGAAGACATGAAGTGGAACAATCCAATCATTGTGAACCAATGGTTTCAACAGGATATAGAATCAAATCTCAGAGGTTCTCAATGTTGAAAACCCCTAATATCTACCAAAAACTGCAAACCCATAGGACACTCTAAGCATACCAAATTCTTTCATAAATGTCAAAATCACATGTCCGTTAATGGTAGCTTGAAACTTTGCCAAGGAACAACAATGCAACTAATATTGCAACTTTTGTGGGGCGTAGGGAACGGTATACCAAAATGTCAATACTACAAGGAAATGTTTGTGTGATTTAATCATATAAAAGTATAAAGCAACAGCATTTGGACATATAAAATCAGACCAGTAAGGGGGCATAATTCAGACCTGAATATTGACGAAGTAATTATATCTACTATAACAACAAAGTTCTACCATACCTCCTGACAGTATTATCACCACTAGCACTAAAACCAGAGGTATCATCATGAAAGCAGCAATCAAGGACTGCACCTCCATGCAGGAACTCCCCTCTTAACACATTGGCACTGGCATCATATAGGCGAACACGCTATCACAAAAGAAATAACAGGTTATGATCTTTATAACACCAGTATGATACAAATTAAGCTAGTATGTGCATGTTTTAAAATATATGAATGAATAAACATAAAACTCTACCATAGAAATTACACACTTCTGCTATCATCAAGAAAAACATAACATTCCATCAAACCTAACCCCAGAATGAAGCTTAAAGACCAGTTTGCTTTCCTCTCTCTAAATGCATCCTCCTCCTTCAAGCTCCTTCAATGAACAAGGTTTTTAAAATCTCAATACATGATAAAAAGAGTGGCAAATCTTCCAGAGTTTCTTGGCTTAGGGTATCAGGGCTACCTTTGAATATTGTAGTTTTGGCAATATTTCTGCAATAGTGAAAGACTGGGGAGATCCGATCCATCACTAAAGCTTCCTATGAGTTATTCAAATCAGATTTGTTATTCTTTCTTTGCGAGGTTGCTTCTCCAGCCATGATTCAAGAAGAAGCTTATGCTTTATCATCCCATGACCTAACTATTCTGATCTGTGTATCAGATTTAGAAATTTCATGGTTTTGAGGGTTTTGAGTTTTTTGAAAAATCAAGGGCAATCGGATTCCGATAACTTGATCCGTCAGACGTTGTATGTCATTTAATCTCAGTTTCAAATCTGCAATGGTCCCCTACACTCAGGGTTAATATTTTTCAACCCACTCAAACTTTTTGAACTTCAAACATCTGCCGCTTCTCAGATGCTCAGCTGCAGAGAGTCGTTGACATGCCATTTCAGACAAATCTTATATGAATGGTATTCCCTCTGCACAATCCCTTTCTCCTATTTCTAGGTTACCTTCTTTTGACTGTGTTCCTTCCCCTCCTCTCTCTCTCTCTCTCTCATTAGAATTGCCTTCGGTTCGTTTTACTGCTTCTCATTTTCACCCGAACATATTTGAAAGCCTAACTCCTCAACCAGTCTCTCAGTTAACATCTAATGCACTTTCTGGAAATGTATTTCCTCAAAACTCCTTCTGGTCTCCCTCCTTGTCCCCCTTGAGCTACCCATCAATTTTCTCATTGAATGTTATGCCCTCCGTAAGCGGATAGGCAAGACCTTACAAGCTAAGAAGGCTAAATTAGAGATCAATGCTAATCAGTGGTTCTAAAGAGAAGGTTAAGGGCAAAGATAAAAAGATGTCTAGTGATGCCCTGGTAGAAAAGCCACAATAAAAATGCCCATATCATGATATAGAATTTGGAATAAGTGTAAGCATCTACACTGGTGGGTTGAAAAAAGAAAAATGAAGAGAAGCTATTTCATGAGTTTCTGCATGGTATGAGGATCCCACAATAGTCTTTGGTCTTCACTTTAGCCCAGCTTCTCTTTAAGGTCCAACTCCACAGAAGCTTCAGCTCCTTGTCATACCATTTTAGCAAGATCATAATTACATAGCATAGTAAAGAAAATAGCCTAGGGCAATACTGCTTCCTCTTGCCATCCTTTTGCTTGGTTGCGACATGATTCTGACAGTCTCAAAAGTATCTTTTAGCAAGTTATCGCGATAGTGTTATCTCTCAAATTCATCTTTTATCATCCTCTTCATTTCTCTTTGTCAAGCCGTCCCTACTTCAGCTAGACCCTTGAACATACCTTGAACTCCATACCATACCTTATTGAAGTCTTTGGTTACAAACGGTCATATGACTGAGTCTGTTTAGATTTGAATAAGTATTTTGAATTAGTCCTAGTTGTTCCTATTTCTTAGCTGATAGTTTGCTGTTCTGTTTCCTGTGTAAGCCTATAAAAAGGCAGCTTGATTTATTGAATAAAGTATCACATTTCAGAGTCAAATTGTGCGTATTATCACCTGGTTTTAACAATACCTGCCTGTGTACATTTAAGCATGCTTCATTTTTGGTAAGTTTGATTTAGGTTTTTTGGTTACATCATGTCAATTGGGGGTGCCCATTTGGATTATGATCCTTTCACTTTCTAAGTTCATCACTTGTACTTGTACTATCTTCTCCTCGGCTCTATTGAGGTTAGACGCATTCATTATATTTGTATATTAAATAAGACATTTTTTAAGTCGCCACAAACACATGCTTCGACTTTCGAAGGTAACTTTTTCAACTTCGATATTGATATGTTTTACCACTTTCCTTGGAAAAAAATGCGAACCACGTTATACAGCGAGTACTGCAAATCAGACGATGTTGGTGTTAGATTTGCAATACCAGACTGAATTCAAAAGATAATAAAATCAAAGCGTGGTTATTTGAGAAAAGTAAGCCTTACGTGTATACAAGTATAAAGGGAGGGCGAAAGAAAGTAAAAGACGTACTTTGTCCCAAGAAGAGACGAGGAGATGATCAGAGTGATGGGAGAAACGGAGATTAGATATGCCGTCGGAGGGAGGACTCACTAGCTCCGTGCCAGTGACCTGTGGCACCGCCGCCATTTGAAATTGAAGTTGAGCGTATCTAGGGTTCAGGTGAGTACTGACGCCGCCAGTGAGGTCTGTAGGAGAAGAGAGGGAATTGGGGGGTTTCAAATTGTTCAGATATGGGATTCAATTTGGAGATTGAACATGATAGAAACAGACATCATATATATATATATATATATATATATATATATATATATATATAT